TCATGTCTGTCGGGAAACATGGGTTCTTATCCAAGTTCCAAATAACTTTATTAGATGCCACCGCTCAAAAAGAACAACCTAGATCATCATATTTACTGTGGGGGATGTACAGGGTTTGTTCATTTACAATTTATATTGATGTTGTTGGGGATATTGTTTTTGAGAAGGTTTTGTCTGGCTTGTTTGATATTCAAGGTGGGTTTATTTTCCCCTTTTTTCCACTTTTCGTAATTCTGCTTAGTTTTGATGGAGAATTTGTCTAGGTTTTAAATTTCTTATTTTATTTTTTCGCATTTGTAGTTTGTGGCTTCCTTGAAGATGGGGTTTTCTAATTTTTCTGATTTTTCGTAGAATTTAAATGATTGTCTAATAATAGGGGTTCTTATTCAAAATCACTTTATTAGGTATCGCTCAACAAGAGCAACCTAGTTTATGATAATTGAAACAGTGAATAATATATGAAGGTTATTCACATATTAAACAAAATGTTAACGTGGGATTCAATCCCGGTTCATGGCTGTCGGGAATTGAGGGTTTTACCCACTCGTCCACCGACTTCTTTATGGGGGTTCTTATATGTAAACAAAAGTTACCCAGAAATTATTTGAAAAGGGAAAAATAGAATTCAGGTAAAAAGTTTCTTTTAATTTAGGTTTTGCAAGCTTTCGGGCAAATTTTCTGCTCTTCAATAAGCGAATACTTTTATGTACATTATCAAGATGATATTTCTACAAAAATAATTTTAAAAATATTACTATTTCTTACATCTTTGAAGACGTGTATAAGAATAAGTTCAAAAAAGCATCATTATCATTTTGATATTGTACATAAAATATTTGCCTGTTGAAGATCAGAACATTTGCTCGAAAGCTTGAAAAAAAACTAAATTTAAAGAAACTTTTTACCCGAAATCTATTTTTCCATTTTCAAATTGTATGATACACTACAATGATATATAAATTATATTGCCATCTTTTGATAAAATTTGCAATAATTATTTATGGAAATGTGTTTCTTGTTTTTTTTTTTTGCTTGTCCCTAGTATACGTGGTACAGGCCATGATAATCATAGTGGGTAGAAGTAGGCGACTGCTTTTACTGTAAGTACACCACATGTCTACACATGTGAAAAGCAGTTCGACTTTGCACTTACAAATGTGCCAGAGTCCCGTTTGGTTACTTGCACTCGCTGGTGGGGTTGGACTTTTGCAAGAATCGGGGGCCATTGGAGCATGTGTCTCTTGTAATATATATTATTAATTAATATCTTTATAGACCTCACTCTAATTAATGATTAAAGTTATTAAATGAGAGGGCTTGGCTCATCAGTGGTGAACTCTCTCTAAATTGCCGAAACCTCTTAGTTCAATATTAAGTTTAAAACATCAAGGAATAATTTTTTATTTAAAGACTTTAAACTTTAAAGACTTTATCTCTGATTATTTCACCTTAATAGTAGATATTTATTCCGAAAAATGGCACAAACCATCAGCAATTTTTAGTTATACAATCAGAAGATACCTTTTTCCTAATTTATCCATCTAATGCTATTACAATTTCATTTTTTCATTTTTAACGCCTTGCCAAATGCTTTATTATTATTATTTTTAATTTCTCCCGAGGAAGACAAAAGATTTTTGTTGAAACGTTGAGAAAATAAAAAAACTCCAACTGGCCAAAGTGTCTAATTTTCATAGAAATTTCACTTTTATACTGTTTTTTTTTTCATATTTCAATTCGTTTTTATATGCATAGTGTTTCCAGGTACCATCACTTTTGTACTACTTTCATAAGAAAAAGAAGTCAGTGGACCAGTGAGTAACACCCTCGATTCCCGACAGCCATTAACCGGGATTAAATCCCACGTTAACATTTTGTTTAATATGTGAATAACCTTCACATTCATTGTTGTAAATATCATAAACTAGGTTGCTCTTGTTGAACGGTACCTAATAAAGTGGTTTTGGAACAGTACTACCTTTTTACACATTTCAATTCTTTTATATACAGAGTGTTTTCAACATACCAAAAAACTGTGTATCAATACCCACCCGTCAACATATTTCGAATGTTATCCCGAAATAGCAGCAAGGGATGACATCAGTTGACACAGCCAAACTGTCCCCTACCCACTCTGGCAGAATTCCAAGTAAAAAAACGTCATATCATCAATAGATATAACGACCTCCCACAGAAGTTATGTTTTGTAAAACCTATCTTTTTTAATGTCATCAACACTGTATTCAAGAATTTGCCAAATACCCATTCTTGATTAATCAAGAAAAGCTAACCACGGACGTGTTTCGGGCTGTTGGCCCTCAGTCATTAAAGCTGTATTAAATATAATACAATATAATGCGGCTTATGATTGTAAAGCAAAAATTGCAATTATACCGCGAATGTTTCTTTTGAACGAAATATCGAAATTTATTTTAAGGAGAAATAACGATTATTTCTAACCTTAAGGATGAAGTATGATAGGATGAATTGTGAAGAGTAATGATAAACGGAAGAATAAAAGTGTCCAGGGACCAGGGTCCAGGTTAGAAATAATCGTTATTTCTCCTTGAAATAAATTTCGATTTTTCGTTCAAAATAAACATTCGCGGTATAATTGCAATTTTTGTATTAAATATCCCCATCACCAGTTGTATGAAAAAGTGAAAATTATATAATCTTATGATTTTGCTTTGTTTTAAAAAATGAATCGATGTTGGTTCCATATGTTTGAATTGAATATTGTACCTTAGTAGTTCTATATATTTTATTGCTTAAAAAGGAACACAACAAAAATAAATTAAATTACAATTGCAAAATAATTTGATAACTCTAACTATGAAAAAAAAAAAAAAACTAAATCCAAAATGATGATGATAAAAATTGAATATATCTGCCAGAAAAATGCTTCAATGAATTAAAAAAATAAGAATAATTAGAAAATTAACATATAAAAGTCAAACACCGGCGAAAAGCTATTGCTATGAAAAAACTAGTTATCTACAATAATAAGACACAATTTGGATTATAAACATAAGGTAATAATACCAAATCCAAATAAATTAATAATGTGTGACGTTTCAGTAACAGCGTTGTTACCGAAACGTCACACACTATTTATTTATTACCTTTTGGATATTTATCTACACTTATATTTAATAACTTGGATATTTATTAAAATTGAATTAGTAGTTGGTAGCTCCATTTACACTCATGTACAAAACTTAAGGAAGTTGTACCTTTCAGCACGTATATCGAGATTCAGACAATAACTCTGAAAGATATTACAGTGACCTTTATTGAAGACACACGATATAACCAAGTGTGAACAGCCTCTGTCTCCTTCAAAAAAAAAAAAAAAAAGACGACCGGCGATATCAAAAACTTTTACTTCCTTAAGTTTTGTCCATGAGTGTATTTGTTTATGACTCGTGATTTAGATGCTGTACTAAATTTGAAAAAAAATCGTGTGAAAACGTCCTTGCAGCCTCAAAATAATTTATAACGGCTTACTAAAGGCTTCAATTCTTATTTTATTCCAGAAGAGGACAAAAGATTTTTGTCGAAACGTCGAGAAAATAAAAACATTTTCTGGTCGATGTGTCTTGTAATTTTAAGAGATAAAAAAAGTTGAAAGACAAATATAGATGTTATAGAATAGTTTGTAGGAAGTCGTCTGTCTGGGAGTTGAGCAACCCCAGTACTGGCTACCTTCCCACCGACTTGGCCACTACACTCGATTTGCATAGCTCGGAGCAATCTCAGTCTGGTCGTCTGTTGTTTCATCTACCTAAGCCTATCTACAGTAGAACAACAACAAAGCCTTTATTAGGGACCCTCGTCCCATACAGGATTCTCTCAGATAGGTGAACAGAAGCAATATGTATCGTATCTCTAGATAGAGGAGAGCGTGGTGTCCCTGGAGACTCCACCAATCTCTGCAGCTCTCTCAGAGGCTCCATATTCATTTTGCATAGTATCATGCATATATATATATATATTAAGAAAAAGGCATCTCCTTATCGTGCAACTGAAAGTTGCTGATGGCTTGCGCCATCTATCGGAATAAATATCAACTATTCTCGTTGATTTTTAATTATTCCAGAATTGGCCAATTACCCATTCTTGATTAATCAAGCAAAGCTAACCACGGACGCGTTTCGGGCTGTTGGCCCTCATCAGCGTGGTGCAAGCTGTACCTCAACGACCAAAAAAAAAAAAAAAATTGGTCATTAAGAAATTCTGGAATAATTAAAAATCAACGAGAATAGTTGATATTTATTCCGATAGATGGCGCAAGCCATCAGCAACTTTCAGTTGCACGATAAAGAGATGCCTTTTTCTTAATTTATGCACCTTATCCAAGTACAATTTTACATTTGTACTATTTTTCATATATATATATATATGAAATATATATATATATATATATAATTATTAAAAATGAAAGAGGCATATCCTGACCAGGAGCACATGTGCTTTTTCAGAAGGCAGAGCGCCATCTAGTGGAACAGAAATCAACTAAACATTGATTTATCCTGTTCCCTGATATTTGACCAACTTAATTTCTTGATAAATCAAGAAAAGCCATCCACGAACTTCTTCAAGAAATCGGGTTGGCCAAATATCAGGGAACAGGCTAAATCAATGTTTAGTTGATTTCTGTTCCACCAGATGGCGCTCTGCCTTCTGTAAAGCACATGTGCTCCTGGTCAGGATAAGCCTCTTTTATTTTTAATATCAACACCTGACCTTTTTAATTTTTTCAATTGTTTTTTCATATATAATTATCCTTTTTAAATAGTACAGACTGTACACTTTTGCATGTATTGACAAGATGTCAATAAAATTATTTTAATTGTCAATTGTCTAGAAAGAGGAGAATAAGATTAATCCTTCCTTATGTTCGGTTCCTCTTCTGTGACTGTGCTGTTCTCCAGAATATGTGAAATACAATATATTGGTCCTACTTATAGGGAATGTGTATCTTTTATTTATGACATACGGCCATACCACATTGAAAACACCGTTTCTCGTCCTATCACCAAAATTAAGCTATGTCAGGCCTGGTCAGTACTTGGGAGGTTGACCACCTGGGAACACCAGGAGCTGTAGGCTATTACCTTTTTTTTGGTTAGTACTCCATAAAACCATATTTTATCTTATTTCTTCAAATGAAACGAGCTTTAGAGCATATACCGTTCTTTATCAGGCAGTAGTTAATAACGTAGAATATAGTATAATAAAGTAGAAAATAACTCTCTCTCTATAGATAAATCTCTTACCTCGGGACACGTGGACCTGGTCTGGTTTGGAGTAATGATCAGGTTGGTGGTGACAAAGAAGGCGTTGTTCTCCTACAACACACCGAGATAGGAACAATTAAATCAATGGGAAATCACACACATGGGAGGACAATATTATAGCAACGGTTAAATGGGAGAGGCAAAGAATAAATAGGAGGAGTCCCGTCATGTCAATCATAACAACGGTTAAATGGGAGGGGTAAAGAATAAATAGGAGGAGTCCCGACACGTCAATCATAAAATGGGTGGGATTTCAACGTGACAATGCATAAATGGGAGGGGCTAGTCATAGCAACGGTTAAATGGGAGGGGCAAAGAATAAATAGGAGGAGTCTCGACATGTCAATCATAAAATGGGTGGGATTTAAACTATACAATGTCTAAATGGGAGGGGCTTCACTATGATGATGTGATTAAATGAAAAAGATGTAATAAATCAATAATAATTAAATGGGTGGAGAATAAATATGTTATATGATATTGGGACCAGCTATGACAATCAATGGACAAATGGACAGTATCCATGGAATAAACGCCATTACGATTATCAAAGGGACAAAATCATCTAAATTAAGAAATTAAAGGCAAAATAATAATCACATAATGATAAAATAGTACTAAAGTGAAATTGTACTGAGATAAGGTGGATATATTAAGAAAAAGGCATCTCTTCTGATCGTACAACTAAAAGTTACTGATGGCTATCGCCATCTATCGGAATAAATATCAACTAATCGTTGATTTTTTAAATTATTGCACAATTAGCCAAATACCATTTACTGATTAATAAAGTTAACAACATAAGCATTTCAGACTGTTAGCTCTCATCAGCGTGGTGCAAACTATACCTCAACCACCACCACCACCAAAAAAAAAAAAAGTTGGTTTTTGAGGCTTTCTGAAAATTAAAGGAATGGGCTTAAAAGGCCGTAAAGGCGTGAGAACGCCAAACTATCTGTGTATATTGCTTTATTTTATATTATCTCAAGCTTTCGGCCATTGAAAACCTTTCTGTTGTTGTTTTTCTTATTCCCATGTGTAAATATTACACATATTCCATGAGTCCATGCTCCTCGAGCTGTTTATAGACAGTGTTGTTGTTTCTCATCCCCTTGTTTAAAGATTACCCAAATTCCATGCTCCTCGAGCTGTTTTATGATTAGCATTGGCCTCTCCTAACGGTCTTGTTTATGCAAACCTTTTTAAAGGAGTCATATGACAAAGAAATTCGTCAATCATATATATACTTCTGTATCAATCAAGATAATTGCGATAAGTACAAAAGTGAAAAAAAAAAAAATAGCACAAGTGGGAAATTGTACTGGAATAAAAGGTGGGTAAATTAAGAAAAAGGCATTTCCTTAGCGTGTAACTGAAAGTTGCTAATGGCTTACGCCATCTATCGGAATAAATATCAATTTTTCTTTGATTTTTAATTATTCCAGAATTGGCCAAATACCCATTCTTGATTAATCAAGAAAAGCTAACCACGTACACGTTTTGGACTGTTGGCCCTCATCAGCGTGGTGAAAGCTGTACCTCAATGACCAAAAACTGTTCATCCAGGCATCCTGAAAAATCATGAAACGGATAGTTAAGACCAGAAGTGCGTGAAAACGCGATGTGAAAAAATAGTACAGATGTAAAATTGTACTGGGATATAGTGGATAAATTAAGGAAAAGGTATTCCTGATCGTTCAACGGAAAGTACAAAAGTGTCAAACAAATAATACCCATACACTTTGGTAGCTCACAACAGTGTATTATCAACAATAACAAAGACCCTAACACAAACAATGAAGATATAGAAGGGGCATAGACCTCTCTCTCCAGAAAGCCAAATTTATCTTCGTTTTTTTACTGCTAATTGCGGCGTCTGCTTGCTCTAAAAACATTCCCCGCTCCAGGTTCTTTGAATCTGCTTACTGGAGTACAAATCTGAGGTGTTGCCAGACACGTTTGACATGGGTGGTGTTGAAATACTTCTAAGACATGATCTACCTTTGTTATCTTCATTTGTAGACATCGAAGGTTGATAATCTACATTTGTAGACTATTTAACATTTAAATACACAAGATATGATCAAAAGGTTCGGGAAATTTGTAAAAAAAAAAAAAAAATTCTGAAAGAGTTTTCGAAAAATAAAAATTATCATCATAATCACGAGACCTCGTTCTACAAGAAAATATTTATATCTTTTTGATATCTCAAATAATACGAATTTTATAAACATTTTTTTTAAAGAAAAGAAACAACGGCGTTTTTTTAAGAATAGATCTTGAAAGTGAACAAAGGGTATGCATAAAGTTTTGTAAAAAATGAGGAAAAATGGTGTCAGAAACGTTTCAAATGTTGAAATTGGTGTTCGGGGAGGCAGCCTTATCATAATAAAAAACGTTTAAGTGGTTTGCCCGTTCCAAATATATCAATATTAACTTTTTTTTTGTATATATTCATCTAATAAATATTTTATGACCCAATTTCCCGAATTTTATGATCATACCTTGTATTATCAATGAATAATTTATTAAATCATAATTTATCATTGATTAAAGAAATAAATCTTTATGTGATTCTAATTGACCCTACTACTTTTTTTATGTACCCCTTGTTTATAATAATTATTGTTCTTGATTCAACTGTCCAGCTTTCCAACTACAGCGAAAATAGACACTGCTCTCATTCATTGCTCTGTTGAATCTACCAAGATATGCCTGGAGACACTTGGTTTACTAAGGCTACCAAGACAGACTCCTTTTTCCTATTTATAGTGATTCTAATTTGCATAAAAATGCATAAAAAGCCAAAAGGCTACACGGTCCTAATAGACTCATGGACAAAACTTAAGGAAGTTGTACCTTTTCGCTTCTGGATTGAGACAATAACTCTAAAAGATATTCAAGTGACCTTTATTGAAGACATACGAGATAACCAAATGTGAACAGCCTCGGTTTTCTAAAAAAATAAAAAACGACCGGCGACATCAAAGACTTTCCCCTCCCCCTTCCTTAAGTTTTGTCTATGAGTATATATTTATTATTGAGACAACACGGGGAGAAAGGCAGATGTTATACTTTACACACACTGTGTCTAAAAATATATAATTAGTTTTTCCACGTGTGAACAAAATGTTTTTACTGAAAGTCTGTAAAAATATTACAAAAAAATGTTTATTTTGTAGCCCTCAGCAAGATTTATTTTTCTGAAGTGTTACCAGAGCGATGTGAAATCTTCTGCATTTTAAAACCTCATCACCAGAAAATTCCACGCCAGTTCTACCGAGTTGGTAGCTTTGTCACTGACCCGAGTCCGCAAGTTTGCAAAGACGGTTAATAGATGGCGCTTAACTTTGTTTGTGGAGGAGTAGTATAAACTGATGACTCTTTCGATAGCCAGGACTCGG